CGCCTGGAAGCAGGAAGCCTTCAAGGGGCCACAGGGCTGTGCTGGCTCTGACCTCACAGCCTTCCAACCTCCCTTGTTGGCATCGATAGGGTTCCACTTCTGAATGAACTAGTTTAATGGAGACCCAGATTATTGTACAAATTCTTTAATTTTTGTTTTTAGAAGATGACTTATTCAAATGGAAATGTATACTGACTTTGCCCAGCCCTCCATTTATCTTAATGTATGTAAAAACTTATGCAGGTTTCAAAAAATAAATGACGCAAAATAAGACATGTCAGTTGGTGAGTGAGGCAGTCCTTCTGTTTCTACCCTCTGGGTATATATGGCAGTTTAGTTCTTGGGGACACAGGCAGCTGTAGCATCAGCCCAGTAGGGTCTGGTTTTGACAGTGAAGAGGAAAAGTGGTAAATACAGCTAAGATCATTGTTTCTCAAATCAGCATTAGGACCCTAGGGAAGGACAGTGGTGTTCCTAACGTTAACAATCTCATGGTAGTGTTCTCTTCCTCACCTCCCCCCACCCGCTTTCTAAAACAACTTGGATTTTTACACAAATCCACGGTCCTATTATAAGATTTACAACTACAGAAATGTTTGGAACTCTTGCCTTATGTATGAAAAATTTTAAGAGCCACTGCTTTAAATAAGATTTAATAACCTTGAACTTCATCTGAAGCATCAGTATTAACTAATTCAGGAATCATTTGGGGCCTTTTGTGAAATATGTAATCGATTTTTACTGTGACATGTGGGGTGGATGAACTCTGTTTCGCAGCTGAGTTCTGTGAAAGTGGGTGCCTCTGGAGGATGGTGACCTTCCCCTCTGCCTGACTGCTGCCTTGGGGAGTGATGCAAATAGGCTAGCAGCAGGGGCAGGAACCTGCCGGGCTGCTCTGCCACTCTCTGGGGCTTCTCCATTGTCCACTTTCCTTTTACTCTTCTTCTGGGCTGCCAAGAGCTAATGAAGCCAACAGCAGCACTGTGGGAAGCTGACATCCCCCTCCCCGGGCAGGCCTGGCAGTTCTCTCAAGCTGGCTTTTCCTCAACTTGTTTCTTCTCTACTAAAAGCCTGTTTGGTTCTCACCTGTCTTTAAAAGAAAAGCAATCTTCTTTCAGCACTGCTATTATTATAAGCTACTGTTTTTTACTTCTTACTTTTCAAAAAAAATTTAAAGGCCAGTCCTCCATCATTTCTTCACCTTAAGCTCACTCCCGCACCCATTACCTGTCTGGAAATAGTGTACCATGGTGGTTCACCTCTCACTCCTCCAAGGAAACCACCTTCACTAGGATCTTCATTGACATCCTTGTGGGCAAATCAGATGACTCTTTCGTAGTCCTTTCCCCTTCATGACAACACTGTCCCTGCAATTCTGTTAGTTTTTTTTGTGAGTTCTACAGCCTCCTCTGTGTTCCCAAAATATGGGTGCCCTGAAGGCCTGGGTTCATATCCTGTTTCCTACTAGTTACATAACACTGGGTAAGTTACAGCTCCGTGCCTTGGTTTCTTCATTTGTAAAATAGGGAAAATAATACATCAGAAGTTTGTGTGAGGATGCTCAGCACTTAGTAGGTACTCAGTAACTGTTGGCCACCACCGTTGTAGCTGTGGCCATCAGTGTCACTATTTGCATTATTGTGTGCAATCATGGCTTTGGAACAAGATCTGTCAAGGCTGCCCAGCATCCTTTAGCATGACTCCCAGAGACGACAGAGAGGCCTGTGAGCCACTTTGCATTGACTCACACTGCTACTTAGGAGGCCCAGCTGCCTCTTTAGTCCATTTAGCCACGGTCCATCCTGTTTCAGGGCTGGATCCAAACTGTTGAAGAAAGCCATTTCTGTTCAGAGAGGCAGACTTCAAAACTAGCACCTTCTAATTGTGAAAACTAGCAGCAAAAAAAATATTCAGGTCCTTACTGAGTATCTGAAAGCAACACTTTATCTGTAGGCACGTTGACTTACCAAGTTCTATCTGGTCAGTCATACTCACATGACGGTTATCAGCAGACTCAGCTGACTGAGAGCGTTTTCAGAAAACAGAAACCCCAGGGCTGTTCCGTAGTTGATGCCATAAATCCTGGGGTTTCTTGTTGCCTTCGTGTTTACTATTCACATATTGTAGACTCATAAAGGCAGGGAAGGGCCTACCCACACCTTCATGCTGTGGCTGGTCACATGATCTTGTAAGGTTTGGAAAGATGGGAGGAGGGGATTTTAGATGAGTGTAGTCTTTTCTAGCTTCAACCTTTCGTTTTTTTTCCTCTGGACTAGGTGCACGTGCAAATTTGGGGGAATTCTATATTTTATGCTGTAAATTTTTTCTTGCTGGATTTTAATTCTTGTTGAGTACCCTGGGAAAGGCAAAATAAAGTTAACTAGGAACCATTCTTTTGGTCTTGCTGAGGGATCAGGAGTAGCCCGAGTGACTTGGGGCACTTCTGCTCTCAGTAGCAGGTGGAGGAAGGGCCATGCTTAGCATTCTGGAGGCCAGTCCTTCTTTGGGGACTTCTTGTTCCCAAGGCACTCTGTGTTCTGAGCATCTGTGAATTTTATCTTCATCTAGAAAATACCTTGAAGTAGAAGCTCCCATCATTCACAGGATCTTTTTCTCTCTTCTAGCCTGTTCTGCTGTGCTTACCACTCACTTTTCACTTCTTGATACTACTTCATAGTCTCATGTATAAATATTTGGAGAAACTGGTAGTACAAAGTCTACTACTCAGTCTAGCCATTTACTAAAAGTTATCACTGAACATTTGCAAGCACTTTCTGGTTTCAGAGATTTTGCTTTTTTTTTCTTGTCTCAGATGCACACGGGTAGTTAAGTAATAACTAAGGTTGCCTTCTGGAAACTTAGTTAAAAAATAGTTTTAAAGTAGGCAAATTTAAAGAGAGACTGGGAGGTAACTGTGCACAGCGATGGAGATGGGAGAATTTGGAAGGCTGGGGTAGGATCTGAGAGAATTTCTAGTCAGATAAGGAACAGCCATGGAGAGAAATGTGACTGCAGTCACAGAACCCATCAACGACAGAGTGCAGCACCCTTCTGTCTCCTGAGTTCCCAAACTCTTCCTTGCTGATCTGCCACCCATTATACAATACTAATCATTTTTAATTCTGTCTCTGGTATCCAGAGAGCCAGGATATTTTAGTTAGTCCCTTCTTTCTAATAAGTGACTTTTCCCCCATTTTATCACCTAATAATCAGACCCTAATAAGGCCCCTTTGCAGAAAAGGGAGATGGCATCTCAAGTATCATGGCTAGGTACTCTTTCCTCCTATATAAGCTGACTTAACTAAAGAAATAAATCTGGCTTTTCCCCACCCCATGCCCTTGCCTGTGCTATTCGCCCTGCACAGAATGACCTTTTCCCACAAACTCCACCGTGGTCTAACACAAGGTCCCTTATTTCCAATGGGAGCGTGTAGGGGGCGGGGTGTGCATACACCCATGCAGCACTGAGGCCAGCACCTGGCACACAGTAGGTAATCACCCCAGCCAGCAGCCGTCTTTCCCATGGCTGTTCTAATCTGTACTAGTCAGTCACACTTGTCAGTCTTACCCTGTGATTTGTCTGTGTATAGATAGATTTATCTCCTCAACTAGATAGTATGTAAGCTTCTGGGCAAAGCAGCCATGACTAATACATTTTGTTTCCCGACAGTGTCTGCCCAGTACCTTGCACATATATCACACCAGATAAAAATGGTTGATTAAATACAAACGATCTCTCAAGGAAATTGCCTTAAAGGTACTATAAGAGGAAAGCCTGGATGCTCTAATACTTTTGAGGACTGGTGAATAAACTCAGGCCTTGCAAACCTCTCTGATACCCAGCCTGAGGTCTATAAATTGAGTGTTAGAATTTCATACAAGTAGATTTAGTTTCGCTAGCCTGAGTGTGGATGTTTGCTTTGCCTTTTCCCCCCTGCATTCTGGTTGTTTAGGACCAAGTGGGATTTTAATACAGAATTGTTGAGTACTGCCCTGCCCTGAGTAAGAAACTTTCCTGCTACTGCTCAGGAGCCTCTAGAGCATGAATGCTGTCTTCCGCTGCTGGGCTACCCTGCCTTGGGCTTTTCTTGGCTTTGTACCATTCTACCAATTTGGCTGGCTGGCTGCCCGGCCATAAGTAACTCTGGCCATGTTTGCAGCCCAGAGGGAATCTCCCAGACAAGCTTGACCTCCAGGGACACAGTAACATGACAGCCATTTTATTGGCTTATTAACTAGTTCCTCCGATAGGGCAGTGCCCAGGCTACACACAGCCATTGCAAAGATGTGGTTGCTTCCTGAAATGGCCCACCCTCATGCTCTTCCTGTGTTGACATCAAGTACTGACAGCCTTCATGAAAGTCTCTTTAGTCAGGACAGCTGAAATGGTGACACAGTAGCATCGTTCAGTTGGAATAGTTAACAACAGTTGAGGGTTTGGCTGAAATCTAGGACCTTGATGAAAACCGTTGTGCTTGCTCCCATCCCAAGCCAGCTGCAACTGGGATCTTGCTCCTGTTTTTCTGGACCAGCTGCCTTTAGCCAGGCCCTAGCAGTTAGTGGCCTAAGCTTTCATTTTGACTGGCCTTAACTTCCATTTAAGTAGTATTCTAAGGCTTTCAGACATAGCCAAACTGAAGACTTTAAAGCAACCTAAAGCACCAAAGGGGATAGGAGGAGCACAAGTTCAGAAGTCAGGTGGCCCTGAGTTTGAATCCAAGCTCTGCCACTGTCTAGCTGGTGACTTGCCATAAACCAGTACACTTCTCTGAGCCTTGGGTTCCTGGTGGAGCTGCCTTAAACTGTGCTTGTGAGGCATGCTCTGTAAAGCAAAGGCACAAAGAAGGCCTGAAAAAGAGCCATTATTCTCTATTTCCTCAGCATTTCCCACCTCACCCCACTCTGTCGAGCCACCTATGCTGTTGCTGCAGAAAGGCATGGCTCCCTCACTGCCTGGACTCGGTCTTTATTTTGTCCCCTATTTTCTCATATTGCAACAGGCATCCCGGGCCCAAATCCTAGACAAAGCCACAGAGTATATCCAGTATATGAGAAGGAAAAACCACACACACCAGCAGGATATCGACGACCTCAAGCGGCAGAATGCTCTTCTGGAGCAGCAAGGTGAGCACTCAAGCTTGTGGGGCGGCTGGCCCTACTGTGTTCTGGCCAGGTCAGGTCTTTCACACCTGGGCCTGCAGAGTCAGAACCAGTCATGGAGCATGCGCTCAGAAGCAGCCTTGGCCCTGCTTCTTGGGACCTGAGTAGTGAGTGTTAGAGCATCCTGAGGAAGGACCTGAGCCACCAGTGAGGATACAGTGGAGGCTAGGGAGTTGGACATCTGGAGGCTTGTATCTTTTCTGACCTGATCTCTCCCCATCTTGGGGCTCAAGTGCTCTGCTTGCAGTAGGGATCACGCCTGGCGTCAGGTGTCTGAAAAGAACTTTGAGATTCTTGGAGTGGAATGTGCTGTGTAAGTACCAGAGACTCCAGGTGTTCAGGGACAGTGAGCCCTCCCCTTTGTCAATGGTAGTCCATTCAGGGCAGCCTATGGGCCAGGCCCATGCTGTTCTCAAATGCTCACACCCACCTTTTCCTATAACCACAGGGGAAAGCGAGAGCTGATCAAGTTCTTTGTTCCTGGGGAATTCACTTCTCTTCCTCCCTCATGGAAGATGCAAGTAAAAGGAAATGCAAGTAACCACCTGGGTTAGAACACGTCAAAAAAATAAAATAACATAAATGGGTTGACCTTCCAGGCTCAAGCTGAGTGGAACCAAGGGATGGGCAGTGGGTGGCATTAGTGGGTTGGTTACTGGGCCAAGCAGCCTGCATGTAGGGGCTATCTCTCCAGAGGCCCAGGTATTTTGTGTGTATTGGTGACTTGCTTCCAAGTGTCCAGCTTGTCATTCCAAGTGGATCTTGTACATGAGAGCAAAGCCAAAACTTTTCTTTGGCTGATACATCTTATGTTATCCTTTCCTGCTGTGTGTAGTCTTCAAACCCTTGTGGAGCCTGGCGTTGCTGGGTCAGCTTCTCTTCTGTTGTTGCACTGCTGAACCCTACAGGGAGCTCATGCTCTTTTCTCTACACCAGGCTTCCATGGCAGGGTGGTGACAGCACAAGCCTTCTCTTCAGGATTGGGTGGGATTGCAGAGTGACCGCCATGCTTGCTGGGCCCCCAGGTCCAGCTAGGAAAGGAGAGGGGCAAAGAAAGTGTGCAGGTAGAACAGCCACCAGAAGGGAGTTACTTCTGAGCCACACTGAGCCTCAGGGACCAGTAAGCCAACACTTAGGAAGAACAGGCTGGACCCTGAGTCTGAAACTTGGCCACTCCCCCAGTCTCCAGACGGCGGTAACATGCTCCCTTGGTTGCCTTTTAGTCCGTGCACTGGAGAAGGCGAGGTCAAGTGCCCAACTGCAGACCAACTACCCCTCCTCAGACAACAGCCTCTACACCAACGCCAAGGGCAGCACCATCTCTGCCTTTGATGGGGGCTCAGACTCCAGCTCAGAGTCAGAGCCTGAAGAGCCCCAGAGCAGGAAGAAACTCCGGATGGAGGCCAGCTAAGCCACGCGGGGCAGGCCAGCAATAAAAACTGTCTCCTCCGACGTCTCCTCCTCCTTTCAGTTCATCGTTAGACCCCTCAGAACCATTTAAGAGACTCTTTATTTTTCTCTTTCTCTCTTTTTTTTTTTTTTTTTTTTTTTTTTTTTTTTTTTTTTTTTTTTTTTTTTTTTTTAAAATTTATTTTTACGTAGAAGCTCTTGGACAACAGTTCTCATTCTCCTTCCCCATTTCCACTATTTTTTTTTTTTTTTTTTAACGTGTTCCCTTCAGGGATTCCCTGTCCCCACCAGGAACTTTTAAACCAAAACACCCCAACTTGGCAGCTTTTTTCTGTGGAGGACAGACGGCCAGCCGGACCTCTGAGCACATGGTGTCCTACCCACCCACCAGCTCCTCCAGCCCTGCCGGGCACTGCCTGGAGGACGCCTGCCCCGCCCAGGCCTCTCCTCCCGGGACACCCTCACCTCTGTTTGATAGACTTTGTGAATCTGTGAACTGCTCTACTTTGAGAAGATGACCAGTTTGGAGTAATCAGAATTACCCCCACTCCTTTCTAAAGAATTTTTTTTTCCTAAAAAGCTATATTTATCACTCCTGTTGAAAGGCCAGATCCTTGAAGAAGTTTGTGGTATAAAAGGAAAGTGGGGACAGATTTGCAACACAGAGTCCTTGGCATGTTTCACTCCTGCTTCTCTCAGCCGGCTGTTTAAGCCCGCAGTGCCAGCCTTACAGAAGGCCGTGTGACACTCCTATGGTATGTACAGGAGATAGCAGCAGTGAAGCGGCAGCATCCAGGGAGTGGTGGGGGTGCTTGCCTGGGGTTAGGGCAGGGAGGGAGGATCGGATGGGGTAGAGGTTTTGTATTGTGGGCCAGTGATGATGTTTTGATATTTATTTCCTGCTACTGAAATTTGATTCTGAGTGAATTGTCCCTATTTCTGATGATGTTGATATTGCAAAGCAACAGATTCATAAAGTAATGATCAGATCTTTCTTCCTTTCCATGTGTATTTCTAAGAAATAGAGCCAACTCATTTTGTATGTAAATACCAAGAGCGATTTACCTGGTACTAAACCCGCACCCCAGTGCGGACCCTTCCCCACCTTGCCCCACTGCCTTTCCTATTGTCCTGGAACCTGTCTCCATTGTGTGATCCAGCCCTGGTTCTGGCTGCGGTCAACAGATCCCAGTGAAGGGTTTTGTGTGTTTCGGCCTCATTTCTTTGTCTTTTTCCTACTTCGTTCCCAGCATTTGCTGATTTCTAGTGTATACTCTGTAGTCTCAGTCTGTGTTTGATTCCATTCCATGGAAATAAAAAGTATGTTGTACATACTGCTGAAGAATTGTCTTGCAAGTTAAGGCTTCCCCCTTTACTATAAGACTATAAATAAAAACTTATTTTATCCTTCTTGGTGGTGGTGTGTCTTCTTGCCTTTGCAGAGGCCAATATGGTTGAGGGAAGAGCCCTCTGGAAGCTGCTGGGCACGTGTGGAAGCCTGTGAGAGGAGCAGAGGTCACTTATCTGGGCTTAAAGAACCAGGCAGCCATAAGCCAAAGCTGTTCCTCCTTTATTGCGAGGGCTCGGCTCAGCCTGAGAGAGTGGATAAACGGGTGGTGGTGACTTGGATTTTTGGACAGAGGCTTTTAAGGTTCCAACAGGGTTATCTCCAGTAACATTTCTAGATCCAGTTCCTGCTAAACAGATGACCCTTGGGGGAACTGATATCCCAAAGCTGTGGTTCGGGTTCTCCTGGTAATGAATGCCTAGTTCAGAGGTGGCTGGTGTTCTCTTGGATCTTTCAGTTTCTAGAGACTTCCAGTATATTAAGAGGAGGCAGCAAAGCTGCCAAGTACTGGAAGTCAAGAAGGCTACAACCGCATCAAGTTAGCTCCACTCAGGCTGGGGACCCAAAACCAGCCTGAACTTGTCTGACCTTGGAAGGAAAAGAAATTATGTCCAGAACACAGCTCAGCTTTGATTTTTCTGTCTGGCTGACAGGAAATATTGCTGTTCCTAGACCAAAGGAGGAAGTGAAGTCAAATAAGTTATTTGATTTGTCAGTATATTTAGAGTGGTAGGGAGTGCTGGGGCTCCTATCAATTGGATGTCAAATCCTTAGTATCTCTTGATTAATGGGAATTGGCAGATGTGTCATGTTTCTCCAAGAGGCAGTTTGAGAAATAATCAGTCCCCCACAGCCATGATTACATTCAGGAAAACAAGGATGCTGGGAGAGCAGGATCCCGTTTATTAAAGGCATATCTTTTCAAGGTAGTATATAGAGGCTGGAATAAGGAAAAATTGGGAATAAAGTCAGGTGATGTCCCAAGCCCTGAAGGTTAGCATGCTTTCTTCCTGTTTTTAATTGCCCTTAACTATGACTCTTTGTACATCTGGCCTTAAGTATAAACTCATGTTCCATACAGTTGGTTTGGTTAGGGTGGGCATTAGAACCGAGCTGCAGAAGCCATGCTGAAGAGGAGACGGAAGGCGTGTGAAGCTGGGCACCCAGTAGGCTGGGAGCAAACAGGAGCCAGTCGCTGGCTCCAGGATGTTGGCTAGACAAGGGGTTGAGTTTAGGCTTCTCCAGATTTCAGTAGACCAGTGGGAAGAAAAGGAGCACGAAGTCTAGCTGGTTCACCTGGGAAAATCCAAACCACCCAGTCTACGTGCTAAGTGGACTCTGGAAAGTGGTGGGGGAAGGGTGGTGCCTCTGGGAGCAGATGCCTGGAAAACAAGGTGAGAGACCTCAGGACAAATCAGTCACAGCCAAGTCCTTTCTGGTATTTGTATCTAGGAAGCGAGTGTAAGTATCCCCCCAGGACACCAAAGTTTGGCCATAGCTTACACTTACAGTGATGTTAATCTCTGTGGTTTGTTTTCATCATTACTCTCTGCACAGTCTTGCGCAGAGCCAGATAACCTGTTGATTCGCTTGGTCCCTGCGGCAGGTAGCTTCATTGAGGGGACTGTTAAAAGCCACTGCTTTCTTTTTTGCAGTGGTGAGCTTGCTATTTCCCTACCTTTGCAATTGCTCAGGTGTGTCGGTATATAAGAAGGCTCAGTGTTCTTGATGTGCTAATCCCATTGTAAACACTGAATTACCACCTAAGCTCACAGAGTTTACAAACAGGACTGAGTAGATAATAGGAGATAAAGTCATGAACTAGGACTGAAGAAAGCAGAATTCTATTTCTGATAATATCGTGCATGTTTTATGCTTGGGCTCCAAAGTCAGACTGCCTGGGTTCAAAATCCTGTCTCTCTCACTCAGTTAGCGATGTTATTTCTCTCGGCCTCAGTATCCTCATCTATAAAATAAGGATAATTTTTTAAATGGAAAAGAATAGAAATAAAATAAGGATAATAATAGTACTAGCCTCATGAGGTGGTTATGAGGATGAAGTGAGATAATGCTTATAATGTTATAATGTACTTGACCTCAGGACCAAGTGAGCACTGAGATGCCAGCTGTTATTGTCTTCACAAAGCATGTGACCAGGGCTGACTCTGCAAGATGGAAAATCCAGTTCCTGGACACCTATCCTGGAGTGAGCGAGGGCTGACTTCTTGGTGTCTCACAAATGCTTTTAACCCCTCAGAGATGTGCCCTGTCCTTACCAGGCACGGTGATTAAAGAGACAGCAAGATGACCCCAGGACAGGACTGACAGACTCTTCAAGACTGAAGAGTCCCTTGTGGGTGCATTAGTTAGATCTGGTATCAGCCTGAATGAGGCTCTGCCCATTTTCCCTCCTACCACTATTCAGTGGCGTCTCTGACCTTTGGACACTATTAGAGGTCCAAGCGGAATAGTTCAGAAGCTCCCATAGTGATGTTACTCAAAGTGGGGCCCTTGGGTCAAGTCCAAAGGTGCTTGTTAAAAGGATGCCTATGTTCCAGCTCCTCTGACCTAAAGCATCCTGTGGCCTGTCAGTTAGTCTAACAAGGTCTCCCAGGTAGTCCTCACATCACTCAGGTATGACTCCCAAAAGTGAAATGACCCAGGGAATAAGAGGAAGCTGTTGGGGAAAGTGAGGCAGAGCTGAGTTGAATTAGCAAAGTGGGTCTGAGGTCAGACTCTTTAAGGCTGCACTTGGAGGAAGGTGAGGGAAACAGGCTTGTTAAACAGTCCCATCGATAGGGCTGTCCTGACAGTGCCTCCCTGCTCCCGGTGGGGCTCTAACATTCTTGAGGGCTGGCTGAGCTACCAAGTCCTTAAACTTGGAAATGAGGAAAGCTGAGGGCTACTCCCACCATCTCTTTTAAGAGCCCCAAGCAGGGGTGATGTCATGGGGCAGCACTCGTATTTACACCATGCACTGTCTGGCCTCTGGTCCCCAGGCAGGTTTATTATCCAGCCAGAGCAAGGCCTGTTCACCAGGCTCTGTTCTCAGCAGCCTCTGGGAACATGAAACGAGAGCCTTTCTTTGTTCATAACTGTTTCTCTAGCCAGAGGAGGAAACCCAATAGGGAAAAAGAGTTTGCCAACCTCTCCACTGCCTGATCATGAATGGTCAAAAACAATTTCCTTCAGTGTCTGAGGTTTGCTAAGGCATGAGCTAATTAATACATCCCCAGACTTTCTATGGGAAGGATATAAAAAAAAATATTTTTCAGCTAATTCCTTAGGTAGAAAATCAAATTGCCAAATACCCAATTCCTGAACCGTTCAGAGAAGCCAGGCTTAACTGTGGGCAGCACTGGAGTGAGCGCAGCAGGCGGGACCATGCTTGGGTTTTGGAGGCTCTCCTGGCAGACCATTGTCACCCAGCTGGGAAGAGCTGTCATTGCCTGATGTTTCCTTGGGGCCAGGTAAAGAAGGAGCCCATGGAGCTTCGGAACGGTGCCGGCGTGGTTAAGGCCTGTCTGGATTGGCATGTCAGCCACAGCCCTTACCTCTGGGGTAACATTGCCCTGGTTTCCTGAGCCACAACATGAGGACAATAATAGCACCAAGTGCCACTGTGAAGCTTAAAGGCCCAAATGTGAAAAGTCCTTGAACTGTGCTTGACACTTAGTACTTACTCAATAAATGTTAGCAATTCTTGGGTCTGTCTGCCATCATAGGTCCTGGGCCTTGCAATCATTTCCATCTGAGTTTTGTTGAAATATGGAGTGAATAAGCTTCTTCCCTCTGTCTGATGTAATAAGGGTTCAGTGCACTAAAATCCCCAAAAGAAAGGGGAGATAAATGTATGTTGAATGCCAGAAGGCAGTAGCAAATATGCTTTGCTTGTTTTCTGAAGGAACTTGAGCAAGACCACAAATCTATTACCTTTTGAAAAGAATGGACTTGGGAGATGAAATATACCCTTGCTGGCTGGATCAGAGCCATTAACCACTAACATACTGGTGACTTTGCCCAGTTCTTCATTCCGGTTTCAGTTTATGTTTCTGTAGCACCTGGTGGCAGGCATTGTGCCAGGCACAGAGATACCTCAGGCACATCTTATGCCTGCCTGGGGTTTCTTGCCCAGGGCTGGTTACGATAGAGGTCGATCCGTTGTTTTTCAGCCTTCCCTCACAGGGGCCCCTTGAGTAGAGTTTGCTTGGTAGGGTGAGGTGGGGACAGACAAGCCTGATGACCCCAGGGGCCCACATGCTCTAGCTCACCCTGGCTGGTGTGTGTGTGTGTGTGTGTGTGCTCCCATGTGCGCACACACACGCACACACCCAGCAGGATGGGCGTGTCTAGAAGAGTGCTGAGCAGGTGGCCTTGGACAATTCACAACCAGCCAAGCAGGTCCCCTCCTGCGCCCTGTGCTAGATGCCAGCTGCCCCAGCAGGCCTGTTGTGATTGCCAGGCCCCGTTTATGATTGTTTTCCTCTGATGTCCATTGCACGGGTGGGGCCCTTCTACACCTATGGCCTTATCTGGGCAAAATTATCCAGCAGTCTCTGCTATTAATTTTTTCCAGTAAATTAAAGGCCAAAAAAAAACAAAAAAAGAAGAAAAATCAAGGATCTAATATTAGGAAAGCTGTTCCAGAACCTTCCACTCCACTGCTGAACATGGTGAGGGATTAAGTGTCCTGACAAGAAAAACAAACCTGACGCCCTGCAGACCAGTAGAGAGAGGTGTGCCTTCTCTCCACAAGCCGTTCCTGCAGGGACCCAGGAGCATGGAATGAGCCATGCAAAGTCTGGGTCAAGAAATAACCGAATGGGCACACAGAGTCACCGCTCACACCCCCAGTCCCTTGTCCCCAGCCCCAGGAGTCCAGCTGGCATTGTGGCGCCCATGCAAGGTGCTTGACAGCTTCATTGTTTCCTATCTGCCGGTGCCATCAACAGCTTGGGGGTGGCAGGGGCAGATCTGGGGCTAAGGGACAGTGGACAGCTTTGGGCCAAAAGGCCACAGCAAGGCCAGCCAGTTGAGAGAAGGAATGTCATGTCCACAGCAA